TTTTTTTTTTTTTTTTTTTTTTTTTTCCCTGTGGAAAGACGTAGCAAATCGAAACATCCCTTCACTTGACCCTCCATCATGCAATTCTCTCCCTTTTGCCAAATGGACTGCATTGCTATTTTTATTTGGGGACCTGGCGAACCATACAACGATGTGTTGCTTTTTTTTTTCATTTCACTGCCAAATGAACGATAAGAGGAGGCTCCTTTAAAAGTTGAGGTGTATAGGTAATTCTTATATATATGTGATTATAAAAAGGAGGCGAAAATGAGAAAAGCGTTGTTGTGTTTATTGTACATGCGTGGGGGGTGTGCACACGTGCATGCATAGCGTATATGGACACACGCACATGTGTGAATACATGCGAATGTGTACTAGGCGTGCTGCCTGCCATGCATGCGCGTGTGCAGATGCTTATACATAAAGGTTTTTCACACGTGCATTCGTGCACGCGTGAGGTCATATACAATTAGGGTAGGAAAAAAAAAAAAAAAAAAAAAAAAAAAATAGTAATTTAATTTAGCCTTCCAGCCACAAAAGTTAAACCAGCTATGCAAAAAACCAAAAAAAAGAAATTATGTGATGAATAATATTAATTGTTCGTTTTCTCCGGGTACACACTCACTGCTCCCTTCGATCGAATCTCGCATCGTCGCTCTCGCAGTTGCTGCTGTTGTGTGTGGGTTGTAAATCTGACTTGGTTTTACATGTCCACGTGCGCGCCTATATATATATATATATATATATATATATATATATATATATATGTGCACAGGTATACAGAATGCATTCCTACGTGCTTCACACACAACGTACACATATACAAGGCACAAAACACATGCCTGACGCCAAAAAATGGGGCAAGGGATATAAAAAAAAGTGAGCACACTTTGTTACAACTATGCACGTCCTTCCTCAGAGCTCTACCGCGGGGCAGGCACCTCGAACAAACGCTGCGCTGCATTTTAAAATAGGCTTTATGTGGCCTCTTCAGCATGGCGACGGGCAAGTCCTCCTCCTCCTTCCCATGGTTCATGAAAAAAGGGGCGCAGCGCGACGAAGTAGGCATATGTTTTTTTTTTTCCCCCTTTTTTCACTTCTCACTTTTGGCACGCAAACATTCTTAGTTAAAATTGGGTATCTCTTCGTGCGCGATCGGTCATATGGCCTCTGCTTTTCCTTTTTTTTATTAGGGTGTTTTACTATAAATGCCGCACGAAAATGTAGCGTAAAGGGTCACTCCGTTTCTTTGGCCTCATTGGTTCGATTCGTCCGGCTAGGCCACTGCTCCCTTTTTGTGGTTGTTTGTCCCTTTTATAAAAATGGTGCCAACTGTTATTGTGTCGCCAGTTAGGGCTACACATCCCATGCAGTTTGCGACAACCGCGCCTCTTTGGGGAGGCCGCACCACATGGGGGAATCTACGCCACTGTCTGTCTCTCTCCCTCACTGCTGCGCGCAGGCAACTCTTTGACCCTCCATCTCGGGTTGATGATCTTCATCATCGTAAGCTTCCTGCTGTTGTTGCTTGCTGAGTCTCTGCTTCAGATATTCCTTGTCGACCGGCTGGCACGTGACAACTTCACATTCGCTATTCTCCAAATCGTATTTCTTTTCAATTTCATTTTGCTTTTTTAAAATTTTCAAAACTTCCTTCTTCTCATTTGTTATAATTAAATCCATGGGGTATTCCACCTCAAACGTAATGTATAAATTTCCCTTTTTAAAAGGATCCTTATAAGTTGGCATTCCTTCTTCAGCGATTTCTCTAATGTCACCATGTCTCACAAACCCAGAGTTTGTACAGTCGACTAAAATTTTTCTTTCATCCAAGTGTGTAATTTCTGCAACAAAACCGGTTAGCGATTCGTACAAGGAAATTTTATGTGTGATAAACAAATCGACTCCTTCTCTTCTAAATAGCTGATGTGGCTTCTCATTCAATATGACCACCAGATTTCCTGTAATGACATTTGGTTTTTCGTCTGCTTCTCCATTGAATACAATTTTATGTTTATTTGGAGCTCCCTTTGGAATATACACTTCGATAATTTTTCTTGTTTTTAAAACACATCCTCCTTTACAATTTGCACACTTATCCTTTTCATTAAATATTTTTCCCTTTCCTCTACACCCATTGCATGTCACTTCCGTCTGGTGTAATACACTGGAGTGATATCTCATGTACGTCTTTGTTCCTCTTCCGTTGCATTGCTTGCAATCCACTTTGGCATCCTTTGGTCCACCATGACCTTCACAATTGGCACATATAACATCTTTACTTATGGCTAATTTTTTTGTCGCTCCGTTGTATAACTGTTCCAGAGTTACCTTCACTTCGCTTACTATATCTTCTCCTCTCTTTTTCTTTCCCTTTCCTGCATTCAGTATGAAGTCAAACAGATCGGTTGCTTCGGTTGGCTGTTCTCCATTTTCGAGACCTTCCTCTCCGTACTCGTCGTACAATTTCCTTTTTTCCTCATCAGACAGAACTTCGTATGCTCTCGAGATCTCTTTAAATTTCTCTGGGTCTCCTCCCTTATCTGGGTGATGTATTATAGCTAATTTTCTGTAAGCTTTTTTTACTTCATCCGTCGTGCAGTTTTTTTTTAAATTCAAAGCTTCGTAATATTTTGAATTGTTTACCTGAACGAAGGGGCGACAATGCGGGCAAACAAAAAAAATAAATAAATAAATACAGCAAATTTGTATGAAGCGTTCAGGCGTTTTTATGTATTTTATTTTATTTTTTTTTTTTTAGCTAGCTATTCATTCGTTCGATGGCAGTGTGGTGTTTTCCATTCGTTGTCCGCACAAAAAAAAAAAAAAGGCAGCAAACGTTGGAAAATGCCCAAAAGAACAAAGCGGAGGCGCAGCAATGTGGCGGCTTGCTGTTGGTATATAGCAACACAAGACCTTTCCACATGCACAGCCTTCAGGGCAAGTGAACCACACAACGCGCTTTGTTCCATCTGTGTATATGCGCAACATGCCATGTGTTAATGAAGCTTATGCGCGCGAGGGCTATGGCCCAGCTGTACATGTGAGTTACATGTCTGTACATGTTCGCATATGTGCACAGGTGGGTAACTTGGGTAAAAGGAAGCACATTTCCAAGTATGTACAAATGCGTGCTTCCAAACGTATGCAAATCTGAGTGGGTGAGTTTCCCC